GGACTCTCAACCACTGCGCCACCAGGGAAGCCCTGTTTGTAGATTTTTTGATGATGGCCATTCTGATTGGTGTGAGATGATATCTCATTGTAGTTTTGATTTGCATTTCTATAATGATTAATGATGTTGAGCATTCTTTCATGTGTTTTTTGGCAATCTGTATATCTTCTTTGGAGAAATGTGTTCAGGTCTTCTGCCCATTTTTGGATTGGGTTGTTTGTTTTCTTGATATTGAGCTGCATGAGCTGCTTGTAAATTTTGGAGATTAATCCTTTGTCAGTTGCTTCATTTGCAAATATTTTCTCCCATTCTGAGGGTTGTCTTTTTGTCTTGTTTACGTTTTCCTTTGCTGTGCAAAAGCTTTTAAGTTTGTGTTCTATTTATTTTAATTGCATAACTAATGGGGGAAGTTCACCAAAACTAGGGGAAAACCATCAATCCATGGCCTAAACACTCTCTACATCATTCCCTTCCCCAAGAGTAACCCTTTTGTAGTTGAATTATTGCAATTTGGTTCCTTTACAAAGAACATTTCCTTGTTCATTTTTTGCTGCTCCGAAGGCTTCAACTCTCGGAAACTCCTAGAACGTTAGACTGAAACGCCATTAGGAACTGCCTCCTTGCACAATTTTTTTGTCACGTGGCATGCAGGATCTTAGTTCCCCGACCAGGGATCCAACCCGTGCCCCCTGCAGTGGAAGTGCCAAGTCTTAACCACTGGACCACCAGAAAAGGCCCTCCTCCTTGCCCAATTTGACTCTTACTTCTTTTTATAAATTTATTTTATTTACTTATTTATTTTTGGCTGTGTTGGGTCTTTGTTTCTGCACACGAGCTTTCTCTAGTTGTGGCGAGTAGGGGGGGCTACCCTTCCTTGCAGTGCGTGGGCTTCTCATTGCATTGGCTTCTCTTGTTGCGGAGCACAGGCTCTAGGCACGTGGGCTTCAGTAGCTATGGCATGTGGGCTCAGTAGTTGCGGCTCACAGGCTCTAGAGCGCAGGCTCAGTAGTTGTAGTGCACGGGTTTAGATGCTCCATGGTATGTGGGCTCTTCTCTGACCAGGGTTCGAACCCAAATCCCCTGCATTGGCAGGCAGATTCTTAACCACTGCACCACCAGGGAAGCCCGACTCTTACTTCTTGGCTTCTCCTTGTATTTTGGAACCAGTGAGTTCTCCTTAAACATGCTTGGACAATTGTTCCTGCTCAGTGACCCAACTCATCCTTAATGCCTGCTCCCTCTTTGCTTTCTAAGGGCCAGATCATGTGATTTGCCTCTCTCAGTAGACCATGAGTTCCTTAAGACCAGAAGCTATGCCAAGTGAAGGGTAAATTGGAGTTTTTGTCCTATTTTTGCAATTGTTCTCTTTGACATTGATTTGAAATAAAAACCAATATGCAAAATAGAAAGGAAAAAAAAAAAGACCAGAAGCTATATCTTACTAATATGTATATGGTCAGCACAGGTCCAAAGAAAGAGTCAACTTCTGTGAACATCTGTTAAATAAGCAAATGAGTGGGTAAATACACAAGGAACCAGGAATCCGTTGAGAGATATGTGATGCGTCCCAGAATTTCTTTATGGTTTACAAGGCTTCTCTATTCTTGAGTCTTTGCAGGGGCTCCAAGATGATGAGTGGCGTGGGTACATGAGTAGGACAAATCACGAAGCCCCATTTTCCTTAAGGGGCACTTGAACACTGGAGTCCACACAGCCAGTTCTGGCTCTGCTCTCTGGACAAGGTGAAGGTGGCATACACACAGGGCTATTTTAAGGAATCCTCAATGGTGCAGGACGGGAGTGAATCCCCGCTCCCTGTAAGGGGGTCCTGGTGTAGCTGAGCAGAAGACTCAGAAGACTCTGGTGGGTCTTCCTCTGTGTGGACCTGCCCGCATGAAGATACAAAGTGAGGGGAGAACACCTGGGGGAGGGAGCAGGGGAAGGAGGAAAGACTCACATGCATGTCCATTTGTCTGTCCTCCTCAGGCGGGATATCCACTGAGACACCATCTGCAAGAAAAGAGGAGAGGATAGGCTTCCAGGAAGAGCCTTCAGATTATCCAATCTTGCCATCTATATTTCAGAGATGGGTGACTGAACTCGGGGAAGGGCAGTGACATCACAACCAGTGAGGTCTGCCCCCAACCTTCTCGGCTTCTTCTAGGATGCCTTCCATCTTCCCCACCCTGGCTACCCCTACTTCTCACTCCTCTTACGTTGATTTTCTTCCTGGAAGTCCATGTCTGGGCTGGAGCTAAGGGAAAGGAGATAGACGCACTAAGGTAGGTCTGAGAAATGAGACAGACACAGCATTCTCTCTTGAGAGAGTCCAAATTTTCCTACCTGTTATCATTCACTTGGCCCTTGGTGTCATCCTCAGTGGCTCCTACAGAGAGTCAGTGATCAGAGTCCTGCTAGGGGACCCACAAAGCCCCTCCCCACACTCCTCCCAGGTTAACCCTTCCCCCTCCAGGACCTACTGTTTGGGGCTCGACACCAGCACCAGCAGAGGAGAAACATAAGGAGGAAAAGGAAAGGTAGAATGCTGATGACTGAGGTCACAGTCACAATGGAAAGGTCTTCATCTCCAGGAGGATTTAGGTAGACTTCAGGTAGATCTAGGAATTAGTAAACAGTAAAGATCTGTTATGGATCTCCTCTTGGATTAATTCATCCATTCAATAAATATTTATTGTGTGTCTTCCAAATATGAGGCAAGTTACTGGATGTTTTGGAAACTGTAGTGAACCTACCCAATAACAGAGTCTCGACATGTGAACCAATACACAGAAGTTGTTACTCTTATTATATGATAAAACTATCTACCCTGCATTATAAGAGAGATTTCTTTGGGAGATGATCCCCGAAGGATAAGAGACACATAGATCTCCGAAGTGCAAGAAGAACCGCCTCCCAGGAAGAGGGAACAACGTATGCAAACTCAGAGGTGAGAAGGAGTTTTGCGTGACCCACACACAGAAAGGACAGATGGTACATAATGTGAAAAATGGCTCTTGGTAAAGATAGAAAGGTCAGGAGGTATCAGCAAAGGTCCAAAACATTGGAAGCTGAGAAGAGTCTGGATTTAAGTCTAAATGTAATAATGACCCACAAAGGGATTAACAAGCAGTGAGCTTGTAATTTTTTTAATTACTACATTTCTGGTGTGATAAATGGACTTAAGGGGCCAGGTGGAAAGTGGAGGGACAATTATGGAACATGCTACAGGCAGCTACATGACAAATGATCATGTAATTACAATGTGGTGGTGATGAAAGAAAAAAGGGAATGGATTTGAGGAGTTTTTGAGGATAGAAATGATGAGCTTTGAGATTCAGAGATGGAGCAGATGGGCACTGAGAGCAAAGAGGAGCATCATATATCACTCTCAATGAATCGATCATTGGAAAGGATGGATGGCATCTATTGAGATGGGAAGACCAATACAAGGAGGAGGTTCTGAGATGTGTTGGGAGTTCTGCCGAGATTCTCATTAGGTGTCTGAGCAGATGTCAAAGATTCCATTGGATAAGAAATTCACGGGAGCATTTTTGACTGGAGTGAGTGATAACTTTGATAGCTATCAGCAGATACTGGACAACTGAAGCAGATCATCTTTAATCTACCCATTTTAATCCAATGTTAGTCTTCCCCGTCAACTTAAGAACAAATATCATTGCTTGGCATGATAAAAACTCAGCAAAGTGGGCAGAGAGGGAACATATATACTTCAACGTAAAGACCATATAAGACAAACCTACAGCCAACATCATACTTAACAGTGAAAAGCCAAAAGCATTTCCTCTGAAATCAGAAATAAAGACCCGGATGTCCATTCTCACCACTTTTATTCACATAGTATTGGAAGTCCTAGACACAGCAATCAGACAAGAAAAATAAGCAAAAGTCATTTGAACTGTAAAGGAGAAGTGAAGCTCCCTGTTTGCGGTTGACATGATACTATATATAAAAATAATCCTAGACACCACCAAACTAATACTAGAGCTCATCAATGAATTCGGTAAAGTCGTAGGATGTAAAATTAATATACAGAAATCTGCTGCATTTCTATACACTAACAACAAAATATCAGAAAGAGAAATTAAGGAAACAATCCCATTTACCATTACATCAAAAAGAATAAAATACCTAGGAATAAACCTACCTAAGGAGATAAAAGACCTGTACTCAGAAAACTATAAAACGTTGATGAAAGAAATTGAAGATGACACAGAGAGAAAGATACATCATGTCTATGGATTGGAAAAATTAATACTGTTGAAATAGCCATACTACCTCAGGCAATCCACAGATTCAATGCAATCCCCATTAAAATGCCAATGGCATTTTTCACAGAACCAGAATAAATAATTTAAAAATTCTTATGAAAACACAAAAGACCTCAAATAGTCAAAACAATCTTGAGAAAGAAGAATAGAGCTGGATTTATCACACTCCCCACTTCAGTCTATACTACAAAGCTACAATAATCAAAACAGTATGGTACTGGCATAAAAACAGACATATAGATCAATGGAACAGGACAGAAATCCCAGAAATAAGCCCACTTAATCTGCAACAAAGAAGGCAAGAATATACAATGAAGAAAAGACAGTCTTTTCAATAAGTGGTGCTGGGAAAACCAAGCAGCTACATGTAAAAGAATGAAGTTACAACATTCTCTAACACCATATACAAAAATAAACTCAAAATGGATTAAAGACCTACATGTAAGCTTGGAAACCATAAAATTCCTAGAATAAAATATAGGCAGAGCACTCTTTGACATAAATTGCAGCAATATTTTTTTAATCTATCTCCCTAAAGCAAAGGGAAAAGAAGCAAAAATAAACAAATGGGACTTAATTAAACATAAAAGCTTTTGCACAGCAAAAGAAAACACTGACAAAATGAAAAGACAGGGATTTCCCTGGTGGTCCAGTGGTTAAGAATCTGCCTTCCAATGCAGGGGACTTGGGATCGATCCCTGGTCGGGGAATTAAGATCCCGCATGCCGCGGGGCAACTAAGCCCTCATGCCGCAACTACTGAGTCTGCGCACCACAACTAGAAAGCCCGCATGCCACAACTACAGAGCCCATGCGCTCTGGAGCCTGTGCACCACAACTACAGTCCACGTGTTCTGGAGCCTGCGCACCACAACTAGAGAGAACCCTGCGTGCCACATTGAAGAGCCTGTGGGCCACAACAAGAGATCCCACGTGCCGCAACTAAGACCCGATGCAGCCAAAAATAAATAAATAAATAAATTTTTTAAAAAATGAAAACACAGCCTACTGAATAGGAGAAAATATATGCAAATGATACGACCAACAAGGGGTTAGTACCCAAAATATGTAAACAGCTTATACAAAGCACCAGCAAAAGAAACCCAAACAACCTGATTTAAAATGAGCAGAAGAACTGAATAGACATTTTTCCAAAGAAGACACACAGATGGCCAACAGGCACATAAAAAGATGCTCAATAGCATTAATCATCAGAGAAATGCAAATTAAAACCACAACGAGGGACTTCCCTGGTGGCGCAGTGGTTAAGAATCCACCTGCTAATGCAGGGGACACTGGTTCGAGCCCTGGTCCGGGAAGATCCTACATGCCAGGAAGCAACTAAGCCTGTGCACCACAACTACTGAGCCTGCGCTCTAGAGCCCGTGAGCCACAGCTACTGAAGCCCACGTGCCTAGAGCCTGTGCTCCGTAACAAGAGAAGCCGCTGCAATGAGAAGCCCGCGCACAGCAACAAAGAGAAGCCCTCACTTGCCGCAAGTAGAGAAAGCCCACACACAGCAATGAAGACCCAATGCAGCCAAAAATAAATAAATTAATTAATTAAATAAGAAACAAACACAACGAGACATTCTCTCACACCAGTCGGTATGGCTATCATCAAGAAGACCACAAATAACAAGTGTTGGCAAGGATGTGGAGAAAAGGGAACCCTCATACACTGTTGGCGGGAATGTAAATTGGAGCAGCCATTATGGAAAACAGTACGGAGACTTCTCAAAAAACTAAAAATAGAACTACCACTCCTGGGTATACATTCGAAAAAAATGAAAACACAAATTCTAAAAGATACATGCACCCCGATGTTCACAGCAGTGCTATTTACAATAGCCAAGACATAGAAGCAATCCTAATTGTCCATCAGTAAATGAACAGATAAAGAAGATGTGATATATAGGTATACACAATGGCATATTAGTCATTAAAAAAAAATCTTGCCATTTGTGACAACATGGGTGGATCTAGAGGGTATTCTGCTAAGTGAAGTAAGTCAGAGAAAAGACGAATACTATACGCTCTCACTTATATGTGGAATCCAAAGAACAAAACAAACAAACAAAATGAAAATAGAGCCACAGAAACAGAGAGAAATAAACGGGTGGCGGCCAAAATAAGTGAAGGGGTTTAAGAAGTACAGACCTTAAGTTATCTAACAAATAAATGACAGGGATGAAATATACAGCATAGGGAACGTGGTCAATAATAATGTACTAATAACTTTATCTGGGAACAGACGGTTACTAGACTTATTGTGGTGATCATTTCATAACGTATATAAATGTCAAATCATTACGTGGCACAGCTGAAATTAATATAATATTGTACTCCAATTATACTTTAATTAATTTATTAAAAAACTATGCCAGACAGTACAATGTCAAGGTCACATCCAGGGCTCAATGTATCTGGAATATGAAAAAAATTAACTTACCTCTTGGTGGAGGTAATAAGATTAAAACGAGATCATATATACAAAAGCTGAGAATAGCCCTTGGCAATGGGAAAACCTCAATAAATGTTATCTAGCAATTGTTAACATTATGCAACGACCTGTAATCTGAGCAAAATGTTGTTGTCTGAGCTTGACATGCATTGTATCTTAACTGATGCAACACCATTCTTTTTTTTTTTTTTTTGGCCATGCCCCGTGGCTTGTGGGATCTTAGTTCCCCAATCAGGGATTGAACCTGGGCCATGGCAGTGAAATCACCAAGTCCTAACCACTGGACCCCCAGGGAACTCCCGTTATTTCATTTTAGAAAGAAGGAACTTGGGACCCAAATGCAGGAAACTGCTTGCAAAATGTCCCAGAACCAGTAAATGTTGAGGTCTTCATTTTAAATAACTTTTTTGTGTGTGTGGTACACAGGCCTCTCACCACTGTGGCCTCTCCCGTTGCGGAGCACAAGCTCCGGACACGCAGGCTCAATGGC